CACCTAGATCTTTGACTCCCTGATCTTCAACAATAATTTATTATTACATGTTCCACAATTAATTAATAAAATAATTCATTTATTATTAATTAAAATAATAAATTCATTAATTCACCAAATTTATTTCTAGTCCCCTTTTGCTTTTCATTCAAAAATATTGATTAAAATAATTTAATAAAATAAATATTTTTTTGTTAAGGTAATATATTTAGGAAATATGCTAGAATATAAATTAATTAAAAAACAAAATAATTTTAAGCAAAATATATTAATGAAAATGTTATAACTAAAAAAGATAATTGTTTTAAAAACATTCAGAGCTCAATTTTTTTCATCAGAAAAAATCTTTTTCGGGTAATATTTTCCCCTCATATTGGCCCCACAATTACGTCTGCCACGTTGAGCCCAGAACACCCTCTTCTTCCCCATCCACCATCTGCCACGTGTACCTCCCGCCAAACTTCATCCCCACCGCCACACCTATGGCCACAGATAACCAACCCGTTCTCTTTCCTAGTTAATGAAGGAAGCCAACAGCCTTCTTTCGAGTTCCGCCGCCCTCCTCTCCCTCTCTCTCGCCGATTCGCCATTAAATCGGCGCATTAAATCGCCGATCGCGCTTCTCCAGACATCAACCCGACGTTAAAAGCTCTACATGCATCCGTGCATTAGCCAGTACCTTAATCATGGCCAGCAAACTTGCTTTAATATTCGTATTCAGCCTCTTCTCGCTCTTCTCCTCCGGCACCTCGTCGGCCGTTGCCGACGTCCTCTTAGACATAAAAAATTCCTTCTCCGATGACCCTTTCCACGTCCTCGCAGACTGGTCGCCGGCGACCAATCCGAACCATTGCAACTGGACCGGAATCATCTGCGGCGGCGGCTCCGGCGAAGTGGTAGGTCTAAACCTCTCCTCCACCGCACTAGCAGGCGAGGTGCCCTCTGCACTCACCAAGCTTACCCAACTCACCATTCTGGACCTCTCCAGAAACCGCCTCTCCGGTGAAATACCTGCCGAGCTCTCCGCCCTGCGCCACCTCACTACGCTTCTACTTCATTCCAATAATCTATCCGGCGAGATTCCGACGAGTATTGGACAGATCGCCGGACTTCGAGTGTTGCGCTTAGGCAACAATCCCGGCGTCTCAGGTTCGATTCCGGAGGAAATAGGGAATATTCAAAATCTAACGGTTTTGGGTTTAGCTTCGTGTAATTTAACCGGTTTTATTCCGAACCGGTTGAGCCGGCTCAGCCGGCTCCAGACCTTGGGTTTATCCATGAACAAGCTCACCGGACCAATTCCGCCGGAGATTGGTAACCTGCAGGAACTCACCGTGCTCGCCCTCGCCGGTAATCAGCTCACCGGCAGTATTCCAAAGGATCTTGGCGATCTTTCTCAGTTACAAACTTTGAATCTGGCTAACAACTCACTGAGCGGTTCTGTACCGAGTCGAGTCGGTGAGTTAACTCAGCTACAATACCTTAATGTGATGGGGAACGAACTGGACGGTTCAATACCGGTATCACTCGGCGGGTTGAGCAGGCTCCGCGTGCTTGACTTCTCTATAAACCTGCTCCATGGCGGGTTCCCGGAGGAGCTTGGTGACTTGCCGGAACTCAACTTTCTGGTTTTGGCGGGAAACCAGCTCTCCGGCGAGCTGCCAGAAAATCTCTGCCGGAGGAGCCCAACTAGCCTGGAGCATTTCATGGTCTCCGACAACAACTTCAGCGGCCGTATTCCGGCGACGATAGCGCAATGCATGAAGCTCCGACAGCTAGATCTTGCTAACAATAGCTTTTCCGGCGAGATTCCTCCGGAGCTCGGATTTCTAACGGAGCTCACTGATCTCATTCTTAATAACAACAGCTTCTCCGGTTTCATTCCCCGCGAATTCGGAAATCTCAGCAAGCTGGAAACGCTAACTCTGTTCCATAATAATCTCATCGGAGGAATCCCGGAGGAGATCGGCTTGTTGCAGAGCTTAGAAGTGCTGTACCTTTACGAAAACCAGTTCACCGGCGAAATTCCGGCTGTGATCGGCAACTGTTCGAAGTTGCAGATGGTGGATTTTTTCGGAAACCAGTTCAGCGGGAGAATCCCGGGAACTATAGGTCAGTTGAAGCAGCTTGATCTGCTTCATCTCCGGCAGAACGCGCTATCTGGCCAGATTCCGGCAACTCTCGGTAATTGCGAAAAGCTTACAATTCTTGATCTCGCCGACAATAATCTCACTGGAGGGATTCCGATGACGCTGGGTTTTTTGAAATCTCTGGAGAGACTATTGCTTTATAACAATTCATTAGAAGGAATCATCCCCGACGAGATATTCGGATGCAGGAATCTCACCCGAGTGAATCTTTCGAATAATCGCTTCAGTGGTAGCATTCTCCCTCTATGCGGTTCGAGTTCTCTACTCTCCTTCGATCTAACAAACAATTCGTTCAATCTCGATATCCCTCCTCAGTTGGGGAATTCCGCTCAGCTGCAGAGGATACGGCTTGGGAGCAATAGTATTGCAGGGGAGATCCCTTCAATGCTCGGGAGGATCGAATCGCTCATGCTTCTTGATCTCTCCGGTAATCTTCTCTCTGGTGAAATACCGGAAGACCTCTCGTCTTGCAAGAATCTCGCCCACATTGATCTCAACGGCAACCAGTTCACCGGAGAGATACCGGCTTGGATCGGAGGGTTGCAGGATTTAGGCGAGCTGAAGCTATCCTCCAATGGCTTTACTGGTTCTCTTCCTATGGAGCTATTCAACTGCACGAACCTCTTGAAGCTCCATCTTGATGACAATCATCTCAATGGATCAATCCCGCAGGAAATAGGCAACCTCGTCTCCCTCAATGTACTCGACCTCAGCCGAAACCAGTTCTCCGGTAAAATCCCGACGTCAATTGGGAAACTGAGCAAGCTATATGAGCTACGGATGTCAAACAATTTCTTCACCGGCAACATTCCGGCGGAGCTCGGAAAGCTCTCAGAATTGCAGAGCGCGCTAGACCTCAGTTTCAATAACCTCACCGGCGAAATCCCCCCTTCGCTCCAATCTCTCTACAAGTTAGAAGCCCTCGATCTCTCCCACAATTTACTCACAGGCAATGTCCCACACCAGATAGGAAGAATGAGCAGTTTAGTATCCCTAAACCTCTCGTACAACAATCTTACAGGTAACCTCAACAATTATTTCTCCCGGTGGCCACCGGATTCCTTCGCCGGAAACCTCGCTCTCTGCGGCCAGCCGATGCATCAATGCCGCGAGGAATATTCTCCATCCACCCGCGGCCGGCAGTCATCACCAACAACAGCAGCCATCGCCGTCGTCACCGCTTTAGTCACCGTCGCCATTTTAATCCTCATCATCGCTCTCGCCGTCGCCATTAAACGTCGCTCTTCGAGAAGAACAGTTGAGGTGAACTGTGCTAACTCGTCCAGTTCAGGACAAGCGCAGCGCCAGTTGATCCGGAAACGATCTGGCCGGCGCGATTATCATTGGGAGACGATCATGGCGGCAACGAACAATCTCAGCGACGAGTACATAGTCGGATCCGGCGGATCCGGATCCGTCTACCGCGCGGAGCTTCCCTCCGGCGAAACCGTGGCTGTGAAACGAATCTTCACCCATGAAGATAAAGAACTCTTCCTCACCGACAAAAGCTTCACAAGAGAGAGAAAAACACTCGGCCGTATCCGTCACCGACATCTCGTGAAACTACTCGGGTTCCTTTCCGGAGACGGAGGAAACATCCTCATCTACGAGTACATGGAAAACGGCAGCATCTGGGACTGGCTTCACCGCCCAAATAAGAAGAAAAATAAACTAAGCTTCGAAGCCCGGCTCAAAATCGCTGAAGGTCTCGCCAAAGGAGTGGAATATCTCCACCATGATTGCGTCCCGAAGATCATCCACAGAGACATCAAATCCAGCAATATTCTCCTCGACGGCGATATGGAAGCTCACCTCGGCGACTTCGGCCTCGCCAAATCCCTCGTCGCCGAATCAGCCGGCCGATCCGAGTCCGCCTCCGTCTTCGCCGGCTCCTATGGCTACATCGCTCCAGGCAAGTACCCTAAACCTAATCCTAACTAGTTCAGCAACATGCACTTAACATGTTTGATGTCCTGCACAGAATATGCTTACACCATGAAGGCCACAGAGAAGAGCGATGTTTATAGCATGGGGATAGTTCTAATGGAGCTCGCAACTGGTATGATGCCTACTGATCAGAGATTTGGCGGAGATATAGATATGGTGAGGTGGATTGAGACAAGGATGGGATCGCCGGAGGAGGTGGTGGATCCTTCGTTGAAGCCTATGGTGGCCGGCGAGGAATCTTTGACTATCGATTTGCTAGATATAGCTCTTCAGTGTGTGAGGATGGCTCCAGCGGAGCGGCCGACGGCGAGGAAAGTGGCTAATCTTCTTACACATGTGGCTTCAAATATGCAGAAATTGAACAACGGGAAGATTGGAGACTAATGCTGAATGAACAAAGAAAAAAAGTTTTTTTTTTTTTTTTTTTTGTGTTCGTTTGATGGCGAAATTTGGTAAGTTGAATCTACCAAAATTAAAATTTCATGTTTTGAAATTTTATTTCGTGGAGAACTTTTCTTGTTCTTTATTTTTAATGATATAGTTTGATCTTTGAATCAGCAAGTTCAAATGTTGTGTGAATAGATAGGATCCTTGGAGTAGAATTGAGTCATCTGTCCAAATAAAATTCAATAGGTCTTTAGAGAAGTTAATTAATCAACTTAAACTTCATTTGGGAGAGCTTTTTTATTGCTTCTTAAATCAGCTTTTTTTACTGAAAGTCTGATAGGAAGTACTTATGTCACAAGATTCCTATCTCAAATCAGTAAAAACCAATAGTAAAACTGCTGTCCACAGCGAGAAAACAGCAAGAAACAGGGAGAAATTGAGAGAAAACACAAGTAAAGACCTGTATTCCACTAGATGCAAAGCAAAATAATCAAGATACAATTGTTCTTCGATCCGAGAGGAAGAACGTACTATCCAAAATCTCCGGCGATGCCAAGAGCCCAAAACGAACCCTAGATCTCAAATGAAAATTCAAAATTCAAGATGAGGAGCCCCCCAATCTCAATCTCCTAATTATACAAATTAATCATAAAGGACAGTAATGAACTTCCTAAAACAGCCTCTAATTCAAAAAATTTCCCTCCCACCATGCGTTTTAGCCACTGTTTGAGCCCACCGACTCCCGCCCCTCCTCTGTGTTTTCCACCTGGTTCCGCCCGACTCTGAGCCGTCGGGTGTAGAACCGGACCGGTCCAGCTGGGACCGGTCCAGGCGTAACAAAGTCGTCTGAAACTAAGCCTTAGTCGGTCTCTATCTTTGCTGGCGATTTTTTTTCTCAAAAAAACTGGTGCCAAATGAAGCCTTAATTTTTAGATGTTTGGATATACTCGAACAACATCAACGATTGTAGAATAACAAATTGGGCAATTACCACTGCTCCATTGCAAAGCTTGAGAACACTTGAAACAAGCACACATATGCCCACATCTATAGGGACATTGCAGATATTTAATTAGCATATAAATAAATAATTTCTTTCTTTCTTTATTTCAGAGAAATTAATGTGAAATTATTTACCTGTATAATACTGTGTCAACTTGGTCTTCACAGCAAATGCTACAGGTGGTTTTCCATTTGGTGGCAAGAGAAGATTTCCCTCTTTCTACTGCATTAACAAAAATATAAAGGTGCATGACATAAGATGTCTTAAATAAAGCATGTTCTTTTATTAAGGTAAGCAATAAAACAACAAAATAAGCAAACTTGTTAGCTATATTGTAAGGAATGACTTAAAAATTTTTAGTTCAAAATATTTTTGTGCTAAAAAATTATTTTAAAAAGTAGTAAGAAAACGGTTCTAAATAAAGTCTAAATGTATATAAATAGCAATTAAAAGGACAACATAAGAGAGTCTAAACAGAGCTCTCATTTTTAGCCCAAAAGAAAAAATTATGATGAATTGATTTCAGTTCTTATTGATCTTCAAGCTCAATCAATGACTTGAGTATGAGAAGATACTTAGGATAAAATCCCCATTTTAATCCTCATCGAACATGTGGGACATAGCTATTGTGCTATAATTTTTAGCAAGAGCATATAAAGATTTGTTGTTTGGACGTGAAATCTTATTTTCCGTCAACATGCGAGGAAAATAACACTTGCCTTTGATTGGTTGTGCCTAGTTCTAAACATAGTATGTTGCTTCATATTAGACGACTCTCATACATCTTGATGCATATAAGATAAAAAGAATATGTAAATAAGTGAAGCAACTTAGTTCTTGTGCCTTCGAATATTGGATTTTACATGAGCCATATCAGCATTGAAAACAATTCCTTACACGAATATAGTGACTAAGATAATCAATTGATATGCTCAACCAAAAAAATAAAAAGAAAAAAAACATGAAAATAATGATTAACTAATAGAAAAACTTTCTTTTGAGATTGAGCGAGATGCAAAGACTTACCTAATTGATTAACAGCAGAAGAAAATTCCTGTTCGATAGAGCATTCCAACTTTTTCTGCCATTCCAGGCAGCTCTCTACCATCTTTCTTAGCTCAGAAACTTCACTTTGTATTTGTGCAAAACCATATCTCAAATCATTCATAACATCCTCATCCTATCACAATGCAAAATTAATCAGTGAAAAAAAAAAAAAAAATAGATTTCTTCCAATATTTGGACAGCAGTGAATTTCTTTTCTTCCAAATTTTCGGCACGAAAATTATATTCCTACTTGCTCGCTTGCAGATGAATTTTGATTGAATGATGCAGAAGGATCTGTGTCAGAGCAATCTTCATAATTTCGTCTCCTGATTGTTTCTTCTTCACACCCATCTCTTCCATTCTCATTAGCATATTGTAGAGCTTGTTTTTGTCTAAATGACATTATGAGCTGGTTCAATTTTTGAGAAAAATCACTAGCTAGGAAATTTGTAACAGTTTTCCTGATCATGAATTAGTCTAGCATTAGAACATAGAAAAACTCACAAATTCGCCCACGAAAATGAGTTGAAAGATAATTGATAAATCAAACCTCTCGAGAAGTTCTCGAACCTCGGCATTATTGATGAAAGTTTGCTGATACAACCAGTTATAGCCTATGGAAGCCTTAGTTTCCTCCATCAAAATCTCTCCTTGATAGCTTTTCAATACAGATGAATCATCAGGCTGTTTCAAATAATTAGAATTTTCCCATGAATTTTGCTTATTCCACAAAGCATCATATCTCCGGCTTTCTTGCAGATCTTCTTCTCTGGATAATGATGTGAAGAAGGCTTGTGACGAGCCTTCCAATTCTATTGTGGAGACTAAGTCTATGTATTGATTGTCGTCATTTTCAGAATGATTGACTGAATCGCCAAAATGAGAATCTTGAGAATCAATTGTATGTTCCTCAGTCTCAATTTCATTACCATTTTGCTCACTTACATCTTCAGCTACTTTCCTTGAAAATATTCAAATTATAGTCAAGCATAAGATTGGGAACTCCAATTCCATTGAAATTTTGAAAAACAAAATTGGGTTCAATATTAACTGCTATTGAGATGTAGCTTATTTAAAAATCAATATTGATAATGACATTTAGACAATGCAATGTTATCTACAAAAATCAATAGTGATTTTGATTTTTTTTAATTAAATAATGTGTTTTATTCATAAGAATGATCAGATAACCTGACATCTAAATCTTAGGCATAAATAAGATTTATAAACTTATTATTCAAAACACGAACAACAACTAAACAACAGATATTTATCATTAGCATTCAGTATGTTGCATAATGATTTTTTAAGGACATTTAGGCCAATTAAGGCAGACTCATTCACACAACGCATACACAATACTCAACACATGACCTCTTAGTTGGTAGCCTAAGCTCCCAACCAACAGATCATGAGTTGTGTTGTTGCATAATGATATAGTACCTCAAGAATACGCTGTTTGATATTCTTTGTGATTTCTCGCCTTCTGATTTTATCGATTGCTCTTGTTGACGTTTGATCGTTGTTGAAACTTGTTGTCGCAGGTCTCTTAGCCTAATCAATGCCTGAAGGTAAATGTAAATGTTAATGTCAATTGAGGAGCCTTTCTGTATAATGTGATCAAGACAAATAGGGTCATAAATATATTCAATGACAAGGAGATTTCTGTTAAGGAGAAGCCTTTTTCTCTTGATGAAAATGCAAAGACACAATGCAATAATTATTTCTACACCCAAAAAGTTCGAAAACCTCAAAGAAGTCGTTCAAAAATGAGTGAGGCAATAAAACAAGTGTAAATAAACTCAGCCCAAATTGTATGTTGCTCAGTGGCTAGATTAAGTGATGGAATTGACGAGTGTAAATAGATAGCAAGATGTGAAATCTTATTCGTTGCTATCAATATTTTTTTAGAAATAATGAGTGATAAATCATAAAATATGTTACTCAAATTTATGACATTGAAGAAAAAATCTTCTCCAATCATTAGGCAACTGATGCTTTCACATCATTATCATAATAAGGATTTTTTCTTTATTTTATTTGCATTTATGGCATTTCCAACCGAAAAACTCATTTTTCACTCCAAAATGTAGTAAAACTTCAACATGCAATCATTCTTCTTCAATCGAACATCTTTTCTTCTTCTTTTGCACGCTTCCTACAAAGGTAATCATCTTTGGTGTGCTTTTTTTCTCTTTCGCGCACTTATTCGGCAAATTCCACTGTAAATTTTTTTTGCGTAGGTGAACAATCCGATGCTGGCATCAGATTATTCACCTACTGGATTTGGCATGCGATTTGGAGTTCAATGGTATAAATGACGGACATCATACGGTGGTATGGAGTTCGGTTGGAGATAGTCTTACAACTCTTTATTATTGACTAAAGCTTATATTCAAAAGTAGAGATACTGATACTAAAGATTTTCTCACAGTATTTATGTCTTTCAGTTGGTGATCATATAAAATTAATCTGAAAAAATCACATTAAAAAATGCAAGAGAAAGGCGAAATTTACAATGCTGTGAAAAATTATCTCTATAGCTCAATAAAGCCACCTGAATCCTTCCATGGAATGGGAATCGAGAGACTTTCTGTTCGTCAGCAAGGTCTGCGAGCTCTCTCATCCTCTCCTGCTTCATTCTCATCACTAAATCCTCCATCTCCTTCCTTCCCCTCACCCTCACCACTTTTATGTTGGCCTGATTCTCCAACTGCTCCTTACCCGTCCCCGAGAATTCAGATTCGTCACTTGATGAAGACGGCCAAGATGCGATCTTGAGGCTCATCTTCCTCACTCTCATCTGCTTCTCGCTCTCCGCATCCGACCCGCCGGATACCTTCTCCGCCGTCAGCGAGGAGCCGCCGCCGCGAGGATAAGCCACGGACTCCATCTCCCTCCACATCTGTATCAGAGACGAGGCGCGGACATTGGAGAGAGCAGAGAGCTCGGCTTCATGGCTCCGCCGCTCAATGGTGGTGATCATCTCGCGGGCCTGGCGCGTGGCCCACTGGTCCATGATCTGCGACTGTATCCGGCGATCTGCGGTCAGCGGCGAAAAGAGATCGCCGGGGGGGATTTGGGCGACGGAGGAAGCCATGGAAGAATTGAAAATTTGGTGTTGTGGGGGATCGGGGGCTTGATGAAGGAGAAGAGAAGCCAGTTTCATTGGAGAAATGGATTGCCATTTTTAGAAAGAACGGATTCGTTTGCGAGATGAGCGGAAATGGCGCCAAGGGAAGATTTATACTGTCTTTTCAAAATTGAAAATGTTTTTGTTCATTTCTGCTGAATTAACTTCCGTTTTTATTATTCAAATATTCAATATTTAATATTTATTTTGATTACAAATTTAATTAAAATTTTACGGCCTAAATTTTTTCCTTACAAAGATTTTTTTTTTCTAGGAAAATATTTCTCCTTAATTTCTCTATTTTATCTCTTTTTTCATGCAGTCGTGACAATGGATCAGGCCAGTTAGGAATTAGGAATGTTAAAAAAAATGTGAAGAAACTTCTCGAAGAAATACCCATTAGAACTAGAATATTTTTTCGCAAGAATTAGAAGATATTTATGTAAATCGCACAATATAATTTTCATTATAAAAAAATAACATCCCACATTATTATGGTTGAGGAGCGCATAATATTATTATTTTTAGCTTTAAGGTAAACCTCCGCTGGAAGAATAAAAATAGCATATAGCTCAAAACAGCTAAGCCAAATAAATTAATTTAATAAATTATTTATAAGATGAAACCACCCATTTTCCCTTTATAAGCTGAACAACAAGTTCCAAATGGCAACAAAAAAATAAAAGATAAAAATAATTATTATTATTATGCCCATATTATTTATAAATCTAATACATGTAAAAAAATGAACTATTAAAACCGCAATATTAAACTATTAGAAATTTTTGTTATTAATTTTGATATTAGAATATGAAATTAATGTATAGAGCTATAGTAGTAGGTAGATGGTTATATGAATATACAAAATTTCTCTTCTATTAGATCCATTTTCTCATTTATTAAAAAAAAAAAAAAACCCTCTACAAGCTCTTATTCTTGTGAAATTATTTTATGCAGATACAGACTCCGTCGGAGGGGAATCAGAGCGTACCACCTCACCCCTTTGTTGTGTACCCGATGTGTACCAGATGACTTGGCGTACTCCGATTCGCCTCTGAATAGTTCGGTGTCCACACAGAATAATTCTACTTCTTTAGTAGAGAATGCATTTAAAGACACATCACATAATAACATAAATTTACATAAAAAATAATCAAAATCATACATATTTACAGATCTAATGCCTATCTCAAAAATAAAATTATTAAAAAATTGATAAAAGCAGGCATAAAAATGAACAGGAAATGAGAATGAAATATCATATGTTATGAGAGTTAAAAAGATTCATTCTCTTTATTCATAAAAGATATGGATTCATAAAAAAAAAAATCCCTCAAACTCTTCTTCTAACAGCAGAGAAAGCATTCAAAAACAGTTCTCGCAATAACACAAACATAATTTATATAGAAAAAAAGATCATCAAATACCTCTTTCAGCACACAAATGGCTCGTCCACAACATCATCATTGCAGTAAAGTCCTGGTCGCTGCTTGAATCCCTGCCTGGATAGCATCTTCCTTGCATTCAGTACAAGCTTCCGGTTGCTTATGTCGCCGTCGATCTGAGAAAGAATGGTCTGGATTGAATTGCTGAGAGCCCCATAGGCTTCCTCACTATTTCCTGTAGGGTTAGCATCTGCTGAGGTCTGATCAGACTGGCATCCACTGATAAGAACTCCATTATGAGGAAGCTTTCCCTGTTTTGTGCCAGCATAAGCTTCTTCTTTTCTGTAAACTCTGGTTTCCATGGCTGGCTTGGCATAGTTCTCATCATTTTCCTCAAGTTTATGCTTCATAAACTGCACTGCAAGGCCTCCCACTAAGCCGAAGAATCCACCCTCGCTGTCGCCCTCGCCATGGCTTCCATGGCGATGTAACTTTTGCAGTATGACCTTCATGAATTTCTTCACTTTGGGGCTGGAATCCTCGCCGAACATATCGAAGAGAGTTGGTCTGATGTTTCCCACATCAATGTCTTCATTGCCTGTCTTCTGTTTGAGGATCTCAATCAGAGTGGAGAGAGGGAGGGATCGATCCTTCATGATAGAGTTCTCGGGTTCATCGAAATCATTGTCGTCCTCTTCATCTTCGTCGCCGTCATCGTCGTGGTGATGGTGACGACGATGGCCGTAATGGCTATCAATTCCACGTGATTTTAGTGCATTCTTTACTTTGTTCTTGACAGTTTTTTTCAGGAAGGATGAGAGGCTGAATACAGGGCTAGATTGTTCATCGTCGTCATCATCATCACGCTTTGTGCTCTCACCAATCTGCTCCTTGGTGTTCTCAATCAGGCCGCCACTGTGGCAGGAGTCAGAGATGATTGTCAACCTGCAGCCTTCAGGGAGTTCCTCCACAAACAACCTGAAATCATCATCTGCACACAGAAAAAACACCCACACCACATTTTGTTAAAAGTAATATAAAAAAAGGATAATGACAAAGCTGAAGACTATTTTCAATCTCTTATGGATCCCAACATACATCATTTGTGCCAAATTCAAATGTACAAGTATGGCTACATAAGTGAATCAATGTTGCCGATCAACATTTTAAACTGGGCTTGATCAATACTCATTCAAATTTATTTAAATCAATAATAAAATAGTTTTAACACTTTTTAAGAACTCGAAGGCTAAATAAATCAAAATTAAAAAAAAAATCAATTTAATTCGAGAGGGAGTTGAAGGTAAACTTGAATTATGGAGGTCAACCTTAGAGTTTAAAGGATTTTGTTTGAGTAGATCTAAAACTGATTATATAGAGTATAATTTTAGTAATAATAGATCTAATGGGGGGATTACGACTTTGGGCGATTCATTAATAAGAGTACAATTTTAAAATATCTTAAATCTATTGTTTAGAGTGATGGTGAAATAGATGGGGATATTATATTATTTAATTAAAATTTGGTTAAATATTACTTTCTTAATTACTTAATTAATAGTAATATATTATATATTATTATTCCATAATAGCTTCCCAATTTTCATCTCTTTTTTTTTTCCATAATTTCGTCTCTCGTTATTTCTGCCTTTTATTCCACTTCAAAGTCACACCACTTTCAATCTCCCTAGTTGCATGAGCTTTCCTGAGTGAGGGTATTATGAACGATTAGCACCATTAGCCTATACAAAGACAACCAAGCACTACTCTCAAAACCAACAATGGTCCTAGTGGAATACTTGTAACTGTTAGATCCTAACAAACCTTTCCATCTGAGCCATACACTTGTAAAGTCGGTTTTAGCTAGTACTACCTACATATATGTAATATCCTGCTACAGTAATAAATCATATGCTTTACTCAATATTCCTTACTGTTCTTTATGCTATTCTCTGCTAAACTTTAACAGAGACCTCTGGCTCTTCATGATATCAAAGCATTAACCTTACCCGCCAACGATCCTCTCCGGTGGCAAACTCCTCTACATCCTAGAATACCGAAGGTGCTACAGAAACCCCTCTCGAAACACCTCATATTCCCTCCTCTCTCAAACTTGTTATCTCCAACATTAAATCCATCATCCAACCTAGTTGTCCAATGACAACTACCCTATGTGGAAATTGCATATCTTGAAGTTGTTTCGTGCCAATGGCTTTGCAAGCTTCCTTGACCCTGCTCTCGCCACACTTCTTCTTCAACCAAATGAAACTACTCTCCCAAATCCCAACTATAGCCAATGGCTCTTAATCGACCAAAACCTTGCCTCCGCAGTTTGCTCCATGATTACCCAGCCATTCTCCATCTCGACTCTTGTCTCAATATCTGGCTAACCATTGAGCTACGACTTCAAGCCTCCAATAGATATCCTTCATACAACTCAAAAATGAGCAATACAATGTGTCCATGAAAAACCTCTCCATGACCCAGTACCTGACCACTATCAAAATGCTCGTTGACAATATAGCAGCAGCCGATTCCATTGTAGATCCAGAAGACATACTTCTCTATACCATCAACGGCCTAACAGCTCCCTACCAGGCGTTTAAAACAACCATCAGAACCAAGCTAACGCTAGTTAGCCTCGACAACCTATATTCACTTCTCATTAGCGAAGAAATCAATCTAGCCTCTGAAGTTGCTCGCGAAGCACCTGCCTCTGACGTTCACATATCTCTCTACGCAGCTCGCGGTCATGGTCGCTGAGGTCGAGGTCGCTTCACTCACAACTATAATAGTAGAGAGTCCAATACTAGTCGCAACAGTGCCTCTCCCCCAGATACCTGCCAGATATGCTAGAAGAAAGGTCATTCTGCCTAATCGTGTTGGCACCGCTTCAATTCCAAGTATTCTTCCAAAGCTGTCATAGCCACTCCTACACCCAAATCCTCGGACTGGTACATCGACTCCGGATCTTCCTCCCACCTCACCAACAGTCTTGAACAGCTTCACCTACCCACAGAGTACAATGGCTCAAACAACATCACCATAGGTGATGGAAGCTCGGCTCCCATTGCTCACTCAAGTTTCGATATCCTACCTACTCCAACTCATAAGTTGCTTCTCCCACAAATATTACATGTCCCCAATCTTTCCCACAACCTTCTTTTATTATACAATCTCACTTGTAACAATAATGTTTTTATCTCGTTTGATGCAAATGGCTACTCCATCAAGGATCCGAAAACAAATTATGTTCTTCTTTAGGGTCCCAGCCGTGATGGCCTCTACCCAATTCCGCCATCTCCACGCCATCAAGCCCTCCTCTCTTCAACATATTCCTGACTCAAATGGCATCATCGCCTAGGATTTCCAAATAGCCAAGTCACAGCAACAATCTCCATTCAAAATCGAGATTTATGCATTCCTACTTTTTCTAATTTCTGTTATATATGTATCGCCTCAAAAGGCCATAGACTACCTGATGCAGGACGATTATGCTTTTAAATGTATGCGATAAGATCTTGCATGATTTCTTGATAAAAACAATTATGATTTAAACTATTAGCAATCAAAACGACAAAATAAAACGTAAGAGGGGTAGCCACGCTTAGGCCAAATCACATGTCAAACACTTGGATTATCAAAATAACTTAGAATCTCAACAACATGAGAATTAAGTAACTTTCAATAAAAATCTCTAATCTAACAATAAGTTAGTAACATAGAAAGCACAATCAATCCTATGTTTACTAGGCTTAGGCATAAGGCGAAGCACGACTCCTTATGACTTGTCACCACCTACAAGATTACGGGATTAGGAAAGTAAATGAAAAGGGGAACAAGTTCACCCTTGAGAAGGTCCGGAGACAATTTTCCAATGGGCGCCGGCAAGTTGCTCGTCGATGGCCTCCGATAGCGTGAAAATAATGTGGTTCACTTACTCTTCAATGGAACGATCAACTTCCGGGTTGAAATCGAAGGTGTAGTGGAGGATGTTCACGTATCCTTGCTCGTCGTAAGAAAATCCATAGTCAAGCTCTGGATCGGTCATTCATTGGCTTTGGAAGGATGATGTGTAGCCGGAGATCAATGTCAATCCCTTGAAGATCTGCTAGAGAGAAAGAAGTTTCTCTCAAAATGGAAGTATAGAGGAGGAGGGGATGGTTGGCCAACGAAGGAGGGAGGGAATTTAATTTGGTTCAGATTTTGGTGGAGGGAAAGTGTCCAAACAATTCTCCAATTAACCCACTTGATTAAAATAATCAAGGAAGAGGAGGAGAGAGAGGGGCCGGCGGCAAGGGAGAGGGGAGGGGCTTTAGTTTAATTCCAAAAGGAGAGATTCTCCTTTGGAAATAAATTAAATAGGTGGGGCTTGGGGGATTTCGGCCAAAGGAGGTGGAGGAATTAGGAATTGTTTCCAAGAGGGGTTTAGGGGATTTAGGAAATAAATCCCATGGGATTTAATAAGGGGGCGGCGGCTTTCATTGCTAGGAGGAGGGAGATATTAGGGGTTTCTAAATTTGGGATTTAGGGATTAGGAAAGATATAATTAAATCCCAATTAATTTGAAATTAAAATATGATTTAATTTAGTAACTTTCCTAAAATAGATTTCCTAAATTAGGAAAGAATTTTCAAATTCAAAATATTTTGAAATTTGAAAATAAGTCTTCCTAAATTAAGAGTGACCACTTATGGAAGGTATTCAAGAGGGATTTGAATTTTGGAGGGAAGATGGGAGAGGTGGGGGGCCGACAGCTAGGTTGTAGGCTTATTGGGATTTCGGTGGAGGGGTGGTGGTGTGGTGAAGCTGGCTGGTAGGTGGAGGGATTGGGTGACCGGTGGCCTAGGGATTGGGTGAGACCTTAGGCCAGTGGCTAGATGATGAAAGAAAAAAAGAAAACCTGAACCACGAACCCGACCGTCTCCAAAGTTGGTGGGTGATCCAAATTCCCTCTCCAAGATATCTCGGTCAAATCTCTCTTAAGCTCTCATAAGAACTCAAACACGGGAAAAAATTTTATCATTCAATCATTAACATGAAAAGAGAACAAGAGGGCAATATATAGCCTCGTACAAATGACTCAAGAAAATAAAAAGACGACAATGTCCTCTGGGCTTACATACGACCTCTCTTAAGGGGTAAAAGCGGAAACACTAATAAAACAAATACAACATAAAATAATAAAGAAAATACATAATACGACGCAGAAGTACATTGACTCAATCGTGGCCGTAGATTGACAGCCACATCTCTGATAGACTTTCCAAGCTTCGATGTCCCCATAACTACCTTTCAAAAGATTTACTAAACACAATCCTTAGAACTAATTCACTCTGAAGTTTAGGGACCTTCTCCCATTACATTAACACAAGGATATAAATACTATGTAATTTTCATAGATGATTACTCGCGGTTTGTCTAGCTGTTTCTAATGCATTTTAAATCTGATGTACTATCTCATTCATAAAATTCAAAAATACTATCGAAAATCAAATCTCTCGGAAAATAAGATACCTTCACACTGATGGCGGCAAGGATTTGTCAACCTTCAATTCAAATCCTTCCTCAATACCCACGACATTCATCATCAAATCAATTGTCTATGCACACCTGAACAAAATGGTGTTGCTAAAAGCAAACACCAACATCTTCTCGAGATGATCCGCACCCTTCTTCATAAAACTCACCTACCTTATCACTTATGGCCGGATACGATTATCACAGAAGACCTATATAATCAACAGTCTTCCAACTCCAAACACTCAAAACAAATATCCCATATAGCTTCTTCATACAATAAAACCTCAATACTCCCACCTACGCACATTTGGTTGTGCTTGCTATCTCTGGCTTTCAAACCACATGCGTCACAAACTTGCTCCACGAGCAGCCCCATGCGTCTTCATTGGCTACTTTGACTCTTACAAAGGTAGCAAATGCCTTCATCCACAAACCGGTCGCATATACATCTCCCGCCACGTTTTCTTT